TTTAATCCCAGAACTAGATGGGTGTAAAAGATAGAAGCAGTGTCTTCAGTATTCAATAGGAGACATTGATTCACCAACCACACTGAAGATGAGGCATTCATTCTCCAGCCAAATTGAAGATAAGCAATGATTCTCCAGTTCCACTGAAGATAGCAAGGCTCAGGATCAAGAAGGATAAGAAGATATTGAGTTCTCAGGATTCTCCAGCCATGCTGAGGAGAGGCAGCAGTTTGAGCCGTGGTGAAGTGCTCTTGTGTGTTTCAGCCCTTTCAGCCTGAGATTGAGGTGAGAGCTAGTGGCAGGTCTTTTAATTTATCATGTTACATCAAACAACTGAACTAGAATCTGCATTTTAATAACCTTGGCTATTCATGTACACACCAGCACCAAAGAAGCACTGCTTCACTAACTCAGGGATCCATCCAAACTCCTGTAATTCTCCCTCTTTTTTTCTATCTTCACATTCTATTGTTTTTCTTACTCCTCTTTTTCCCCTGTATCTTTTTTTCTCACTCTCTGTCTTTTCTCTAACACTTTTGCCACCAGCTTCTCATTTTGAATTTATTTATCTTTTAATTAACCTGAAGTACCCACCCTGGGAGTTCTATTTTTCTGTTTAAGTAGCCACATAGTTGGGGAATGTGAATGTTCTCTAAATTAAATGAGCATCCAGAGACACAAGGAAATTATACTGCTTTAACTTTCCATGTGTCAGTATTCTTCCAGAAACCAGAAAGAATCTAACATTAGCCTAGATAGAAAGTTGATTATAACAAATCATTATCAATATCTGTCATTGGGCAAGGAATCATAGTACCAGAGACAGGCTCTCCTCCACTCTGATCTGATTTGGGCAGTAAGAGAAACTTCAAAAAACCAGCTGAAGCCATAGGAAAAGGAAAGAGCAAAGAAGAATATGTTGTGTTAGTAAAGAATCACTTCTCTGTTGAGCCACCATCTTTTCAGTCACCGAATTCTGAGAGAAACTATGTAGTCGTCATCCTTTTTATTTCCATGCCACTCCAAAGAGTCTTCTGTCAACAAGCTAAAGGGGTCTTCAAATCCTCTGCTGCCATATACACCATTTGTCCAAGTTTCAGTTTTGGTTTTTTTTTTTGTTTGTTTGTTTGTTTTGCTATGACAAACACTGTGACCAAAAGTAACTTGGAGAAGAAAAGTGTCTTGTGTCTTATATTTCCAGGTCAAGTCCATCATTGAGGGAATTCAATGCTGGAACTGGAGCAGTAACTTGAAGCAGACTCAGGGAGGATCACTGTTGCTTGCCTTCCTCACAGTCTCAATCTTAACTAATTTTTCCATTTAGTTTTTCTTCTTTCATGACCTTTTAAGAAGAATTGGTTCACTCTATAGGTTTGGCTAGCCTGAGCTTTCCATATAGACCAGACCTCAAATTTAAAGATCCCCTGCCTCTGTCTCTCAAGATCTTGTATTAAAGAGTGTGTCATCACATGGAAAAATTCGCTAGCTTTCTTTTATAGGTCAGGATCACCTGCCTATGGGGTGGTGGTGCCAGCTGTGGGCTGAGATCTCCTATATCAATGAGTATGAAGACAGTTCCCCACAGACATGACCATAGGTCAATCTGTTCAAGCAGTTCTTCAGTTAAGGCTTTCCTTCCAGTTGTTTTGATAATCAAAACTAAATAGGACAACACTTATTACAAGAGCCAGTGTTTTCTTCTAAGTATCTGTCCAATTGCTCAATATGAATCATCTCACTCTGAAGAATGTTTAACATGGTCCATCCTCCAAGGAACATGATTTGGTTATCACTTGATGTTAGGGATGATAGACATCCTTTATCCTTTAACATCACTCTCTTCTCTAATAACTCGTATTTTTGGAAGAACATATAATTTCTAAAATAATTTATTTGAGTGATTACTGTAGACTATGACTATCTTACTGTTCTACCACGGAGCTTATAATAGAGTTGTATCAAGGTATACTCAGATATCAGCAATTCTTTAAATTATTAGCAAATACCCTGAGAGTTATGTGTAATTTCATAAAGTATGAAAACTATCTAATAAATCATATTATAATCATTAAATTTTAAAGAAGAAAATTTAGTATCAAAAAGTTCCATAGCCAATGGAAGGAAGCCTTAGATACAAACACAGAACATTTTATAGTAACAACAACAATAAAAACAAGTTCTACATTCTTCACAGTCTAACAAAGGTATTGCAATGTAATAGTGCACATAAGTAGGCAATTATATTAAAATACAGTTTAAAAATATTTTATGAATTAATTTTATATGGTATTGACTACTACCAAATGTTGTGAACACACAGTGGATAGTTCTCAAAATCCTATACTTGAATATTAGCTCTTACAACTAACTACTCTGCATTAATAATTAACCATGTGTACATGAATTAAAATTCACATTAGACTTTACAAATATGCAAATATATATGGAAATTCCAATATTTTAAAGAAATTGTCAAGTTTGTCATATCAGATGTTCTATGAGCTGTAGTGTGGTTTTATGTGTTTGTGTGTTTACCAATTAAGGTCTTTGGCATTGTAATGTGTACTTAATGATTGATGGGAAAGTGAAGTAAATTTAGGCTTTTCTAGTGATGTTATTCAAGGACATTTTCATAGGTGATGTCAAAATTGTTGACAGTTATTTCCAGATATTATTATTTGGTTTTACAGTCATTTTAATTTTTTTATATTCCTTTTGTTATCAGTCTGTAAGTACAATATGTTGAATATACATATATACATAAATAGTTGTTTTGGATAGGAAGGAAGTTGAAACGTTCAACTTTTGACCACAGGTCTCACTGTGTAACACAGGCTGACCTTGATCTCACCATTCGTAAGTCTCCCTGCTGCTGGGATTATGGCCCACTTGCTCTGAGGCCCAGGACAAGTGCCAGAATTCTGATTAAAATGTAGAAAGCATGATGCTTCACCCATCTTACCTTTGGGTCCATGTACGTCAGGAGACTATTCTGTACTATTTTAAAATCTCTGTATATTTAGATATTTTTGTAAATCAAAACCCCTTCCCATTCTCAATCCACATTTTTCACTTTCTTTAAAACAAGCTACAAAATGAGGCTTTAGTGGATAGAAGAATAAAATGTGAATTTCTTCTATCCTTCTCCAAAGGATTCTGAACAGGGGCAATAAGACATTATTTTTTTTCTTATTTGGTCTTACGCATATCTTCTGTATAATCAAAGACCTTATGTATATTTGTGTTATGCTAGTTACCATTTTTCAAATACAGTAAAGTCTCAGACGTTTACATGGTCCAACTGATACACTATGTTGATCATTATGGCTTATTGTAAGCAATAAAATGGGTTGTCTCCACTGCTGGAAAATGGAGACTTTTGTGCTAAGTCATATTTTATTTATTTAAATACTAAAGTGGTGCTGACTTTTACCTTTTTATTTGTATTGTATTTGTTCTTTTTTTTTTACTCAACAACAGATGGAGCTAGAACATAAATTGGCCATTTGTGGGATGCATTATTTTGGAGTTCAGTATCAAGCTAAGCATAACTGGAACTGTTAATATTCATGTGTCAATTAATTATGTCAGATTTCACAAGTGGTATGTGTTTGGTACTTCCTACTACAATTCTAAGTATAAATGACTGTCCTTACCAATCCATTCTTCAATGGATTCTAATAGCCTGGTGATCATTTCTTTTAAATGTATGGCTCATGTTTTCATACACTAAAGTGTCAAATTATGAGATATTCTTTCCCCAACCTCAGTGTTCTTCTGACTCTTAACATGCTGTGTGCTACTATAAATTATATTATTACATGATGGAATAGTTATAGGTCATGAAAAGCACAACACTGACTATTTTATAAGTAAATTTTAGTGTAACAGTGTTAAGTTATTTTGTAGATATATATTTCTTATTCATATAAAATTAAACTCCAGAAACCATATCTGGATCAGGCCATGTAGACAGAGGCAGAAATGTTCTCCTAAAATCTGATGAAGCCAGAGGTGGGGAGGTTGAGAGAATATGACTCCTCTTAGCACAGTAGCTGAGAGTTCATCTTAACTCTGCCAGTGATGACAAAGTAATTAGGAGGTAATGACATGCCACAGCCTCCTCATTTAGAAAGAAGTTTCTATTGACTAGGTTTGCCAGGAGATTAATCTGCTTAATATATACAAAATGCTTGGAATAAGGGCTGGGACATGACTCACATGTAAAACTGGGTAAAGCCTAGCATCAATAAGTCTGGACTAATCCATAGCACCACACACACACAAAACAAGAAACCGTTTCTATATGCTTAGTTCAGTGTCTATCACATTAAAACATGCTTAAGAAAGCATATGACTAAAGATGGAATGTATACTTTATGTTCTTTATTTCCTTTTTAACTAAGTTTTTAGTGCACAAAATAATGATTTTCACTGTGACATTGTCAAATACTTGTCTCCTTATACTTTGTTCACATTCATTATGCTCTCATCCAACGCTACCCCTTCCAGTCTTCCCTTGTCTTTCTTTAAATGCATATGCTTCTGCTCTCGTGCCATTCATATATAAGCATGTATTATGTATGTATGTATGTATGTATGTATGTATGTATGTATGTATGTATGCATTATATATGTATGTGTGCATGTATTATGTATGTATGTATAATTTATATTTCACACATGAAGGAATTATGATCTTTTATTCTGAGACTAGTTTATTTAGTGTAGCATGTGGGTTCACCTAATTACCAAGGGCACTTAAAATCCCTTTTTTCTCTTGTCCCATAGAAAATTAATTCATGTCTGGTTCATCAAGGTCATCAGAGCAAAAGTTCTTATAGGTATTTGCTATTTTACAGTATTTTCATTAATATTTGCTCAGCTCAGAAAGGCATAATTAATCGGAATTATAATCACTCTGGGAAGGCTATAAAAACAAAGTCCCCCCTTTTCCAAAACAAAAGCTGGTTGAGCTCTATGCTAACTCCATTTGAGGAATGCAAAATACACTAAAGATATTTTGCATTTTCCTGATTGTTATCTTCACTGTGTCTTGTGGTCTTTAGGGTTATGTTTGGAATATGGAAAGAATATGAAGGGAAATGTTGCTTTATAAATGCCTTGTGTGGAAAATATTGTTCCTAGCCTCTTCTTGAGCTGCTCCCTAGGCAACATTTTATTGTTTGAAGAATCAAGTAGAACAAATAGTTAAGAAATAGTGAGAATGTTTTTCCGAAGATGCATCATTAGACTTGGTGATTGTGTTAATTTGTGTGATGAGACTATCCCTTATCAGAAGTTATCCTGTTTTTTTTCTTTTGAATATAATTTCATTAATTGACAAATTAAGTTTTATTGCCTCTAGATCAAAAATAAGAGGGGAGAAGAGAGGTGGTAGTTATTTCCACTAAAGATCAATAATTTTTTTTCTTTTTCTCATTGCCTTTTCTCTTTTGAGAGGTTATATGCAAATTGAATATTTGAAACATATTTGTAAAGGGGAATGCTAAAAGCAAAGAAAAATATTGTTGGACAAATAAACTTGAAAGATAAAACCTTCTATTACCATCCTGTTATGATTTCAGAGAGAGAGAGAGATGAAATTCTATGCAGCAAATAAGTGTACACATTCATCAGTTTGTCTGCCTGTCTGGAATAAACTTTGATTAATAATGTTGGATGTTTTCTTCTAGCTCCTCAGATGAAAACAAAAGAAGATGCAGAAAAAACACAGAACACTATTTGGTCCAAGGTTCATGAAAGTCTGGCTGTAACTCTTGGGAGTGTGTCTATAATTATTGTGACATTAAGTGCTGCTGTGTGGTGTGTGAATATGAACAGCCAAGAGTGGGAGCCTTGACTGCTCCCAAGGCTACAACTTAAGTTATGAATTGCAAATCTAATACATGATGGACATTATACTAATTACCAATAAAAATGGATTTTTGCTTTATGTAATGTGAGAAGCTTCCCCGCTTTTTAGATTGCACTATGATGACTAGTGGTTTCAATGTTGGGACAAGGAAATATGAAAGGAACATAATAATGAGAAAGGTTCATGTAGAACTTGGAAGATTTCCCATTGTCTTTTATTTTCTTACTTGTTTTATTCAGAAGACTCCCCTCATGCATTTGGAGGTACCAATAATCACTCACCCACTCTACCCTGGCTCATGCTACCATTTAATCATTGTATGAATTAGACATCAGACTGCACATTGTCAATCAAATAGTAAGGCACTGTGGACAAGATAATTGTAAGAAGAAGAAACTGAACAATACAGAGGATACAGTGGAGAATGGCAAAGTCTTACCTATACCAGGATATAAGAAAATGGCACAGGGAAACATCCTTGAGAGATGGTGGCTCAAACAGAAATGTTGGAAATTTTATTTTGATGAGTTGAATAAAATCAAATTTATTAAATTGTGACTTTGAAGGTCATAATTTTAAAATATTAAAACATTTTATACATTCTGGTTGTTAGAAAGTAACCAAATTATCAAATGTTTTTCAAGTTACAGAAGGCAAATTACAATGGAATATTATGCAGCTCTGGAAGAGCCAAATCCAGGTGGAGAAAAAAATATACCATTAATATTAATGATATATTTTTGTTTTAAAAAGTGATTCTTAATTTTATGTACCTATCATGAAAAATTTAATGTATTCATATTTTTATATTTTCTTGAGTTGATAACATCAACTCATAGCCTTTTCTGTAAAATACAGAATGATATATGCTTGACTAAGTGATTAATAATTTTAGATACACTATTTTTACTGTAGCCACATAAACTTGGTGAGTTCTGATAGGCTTGGAACGCAAAGGACGATGCAGGAGACACTGCCTTGATGATGGACAGCAGGTTGATACCTGCCTCTCAGTGTGTGTGGTTTTCTGCTTTGAGGCTGTGGGTTGAGATTATTTTAAGAAGCTTCTGAACAAGCCAGTGGATTGTACTAGTGGAGCATGATTCGTGCCTCTGCAATAACTACTCAGACAAGACTAAATCCCTGTCCTTTGCACATGTTACTTACGTATGTAATAGAATGAGTGGGAAATTTTGACAGAAGTGTGTCTGTAACTAATTTCCTAATACAGGCTTATCAGGATTCCTTCGATTAGATTTCTGGAGCACCTAAACTTATATAGCTTAAGCTTTTCCCAACTTCACCAGGCTCACATCAGAATTTCAGTTCTTAAAAGTCAAAGTTTGGTGGTTTGCTAATTGTTATAACCTAACAAATTTACGAGAATCAAGAAACAAAGCAGGGCAGTGGTGGCACATGCCTTTAATCCTAGCACTTGAGAGACAGAAGCAGGTGGATATCTGTGGGTTCAAGGCTAACCTGGTCTAAAGAAACAGTACCAGGAAAGGCTCCAAGTCTACAAAGGGAAATCTTGTGTAGAAAAATCAAGCTTTCTACTCCCTCTTTGTTGATGTTCTCTGAGTCTTAATTGTAGAGATGATTGCAACAGTATTAACTTGGGACAGAAGCCTCACAGTTGATCTCTGCATTTTGGCCAGTTGGGCTCTCTTAATGATCTCTACCTACTGCAAAAAAGAAGTTTATTGGATGAGAGGGAGGAGATACAATTTTCTATTGCTACAGATATAAATATTTGGAACACAGTTAGAAATTATACCAGTTTGACAAATGGCAGTATTAAGTTCTCCTCCGGGTTCCATGGTCTTGATAGTCATGTGTTCTCTGTTTCCCTAGATGCTACAGAACTTTCATCATGTGCTGAAAAATCACAAATTCCTCAATTATTCATTTCCAGAATTACCTCTGTTTCTGTTTTCTTTATTCCTCTATTTCTATTTTCAGCTCTTGCAGTTTTTTTTGTTTTGTTTTGTTTTGTTTTTTATTTTTCGAGACAGGGTTTCTCTGTGGAGCATTGGAGCCTATCCTGGCACTTGTTCTGGAGACCAGGCTGGCCTCGAACTCACAGAGATCCACCTGCCTCTGCCTCCCAAGTGCTGGGATTAAAGGCGTGCATCACCAACGCCCGGCACTCTTGCACAGTTTTATTCTATTTCTTCAACTGTTTGTGTTTTCTTTAAGGAATTAATGCATTTCCTCAAGTTGTGTTTTCCTGAGTTTCTCAAGAGATTTACTCATTTCTTCTTTAAGGTCCTGTATTTGTTCATATAGCTGGCTTTAAGGTCTTTATCTTCTGCTTCTTCAGTGTTTCAATAGTGGAGACATGTTCTCCCCACCTTTTATTGGTTGTGTTTTTATGTTGGCATGTAGGCACCTGGGTTTGGGATAATTATAAGTCTAAGGGCTGATTTCTTGACTTGTCTTTGTTGGGTGGCTATTTTGTTCCTTGGTTTCTGTTTCCTCTCTGGAGTTGTAGAGAGTGTGATGGCTGTGTGTTGCCTGTTTTCCTGGCCTGCTCTGCTGGTGTGTTCTAGTGAATGCCTGCTGGTGGTCGGGGCTGCAATACTGGGATGAGGTGGGGGAAGGAAGGCTTAGGGAAAAGAACTTTGGGGTCCAGTAGGGATGGGGTCAGAGAAGAAAGGGAGACCACAGAAGGTTTCCTGCCTCAGAGCTAGAGTGAGACTTGGAGGACTGGATCTCAGGAGCAGTAGGAGAGGTGTGGTCTGCCTTCAGCCTACTTGGTGCCCTGGGAGCAGCAATTAAAAACATTTTTTAAATTTTATACATTTTCATTTAAATTAAAAACAATTTGTTTTACATGTCAATCCCAGTTCTCTCTTCCTCCTCTCCTCCCCTGGCTCTCACCAACCCCTATCTCATCCTCTTTTGGCTCCCAGAGAGGGTAAGGCCTTCAATGGGGGAATCTTCAAAGTCTGTCACATCATTTGGAGAGAGGACCAGGACCTCTGTGACAGTGTCTGTTCTTGGGGAGAAAACAAGACATGGAATGTGAGAGAAGAGACGGGTCATGGAAAAGGTGGGGAATTGGAATGGAGGGTAAATGTTATCCGGATGCATTATGTGAAATTCTCAAGATTTGAAAATATTTTGTAAACAGCCTATTATAATTTATAATTCACAAAGCACTATTTTAGCAGAATATCCTCCTGTTAAAATTTCTACATTCATGCTAGGTCTCATAAAAATCTTGCCATGTGAGAATTCGAACATTTGGCATATAAGAAACAAGCATTTTGATAAACAAACCAATTTTGTATACGTTCACATAAAAACATCTTGCCTTTTGCCTTCATTTTATAGGGTATTTTAACATTGGTGATATATTTTAGCTAGAATTAGCTTTCTGTGTCAGAAAATGCAAGCTTACATTTTTCTTGTCTTTAAATAATGGCATTTGGTTATTTTGGTTTTTTTTTGTTTTTGAGTACTAAAAATTTCCCCTTTGGTCTCTCTTATTCTATACAATATTTAACCATCATGGTACAATTCCCAATCTTTATTACATTTTATTTGTCTGGGGAGTGTGTGTTGCATATGGGTTGTTTGTATGTATGTGGTGTTTGTGTGTATGTGTGTATGTGTTATGTGAGTATGGTGTACACTGTGTGTAGTATGTATGTGAGTGTGATGTATGTTATGTATGTAGTATGTATAGTGTGAGCTTATAAGAAGGCAGTGAGTGTGGGTCTGTATGTCTGTTTGTTTCTGTGTGTACACCATGTGCATATCACAAGACAATTTGTAGGAAGTGGTTCTCTCCTTCCATCCTGCATGTTCGGTTGTTGAACTTGGCAACAAGTACCCTCTGAGCAGTCTCCCTCTCCCTGAGAGAGTGCTATTATTTTGCCCAGGTGTGCTTAGAATTGACTCTAACCCAGGCAGGCCTTTAGTTGCCTCACCTTCATGAGAAGCTGGGTTTGTAAGCCTGCACCTATAGGCATGGCCTACTGCTACTTTCCTAACCCCAACACTGTTTAGAGACAGAAACATGTTATATTTTACATTTATAAAATATAAACACATAAAGATATATGTAAGTCTGTTCATCAAATTAATATTTTATTTAAATGTCTTACTTTTGTTACTATTGTTGCATTGTCTATTAAGATTAATGATATATATCTGGAGGGATATATATCTGGGCTGGAGGGATAGCTCAGCCATTAAAGGATAGGCTCACATCCAAAAATTTAAGATATACAGGTTGACTTTCCAGAGCTCTCAAAGGAGAATCCTGTTTTGAAGATTAAAGATACCTTTTCAGCAGCACTGGTGTTTTTTTTTAAGGCGAAACAGTTACCTTTAGCCAAAAGTTACGACAGCCAGATGGAAACTGCCTATGAGGGAAGAAATGAGATTGTACTGTCCCTTAAGCGTTAATCCAGTTGGGATGTCAGTCACATGGCCAGTCAGTCACCCTCAATAAGGCAGATCTATGTCATGATAAATTAAAGAAGTAGGAGAAAGAATTAACCCTTACATGAGACAATGACCCTTTGCTTTGCAGCATTCTTGCCTTCCAGTGTATGCAGGCCCCACCAGGAGCCACAAGGTTCTGTTGAGATGGCCCTGCTTTCTGATTCATGACTCAGAGGTCAAAACTTTTATTTTTTCTTCCCTTCTGTCCTTTTCTTTCAGATGTTGACCAGAACCTAAGTATGGCTTCTCTGGTATTTTGGCCTTTCATTCATTTCTATAATTACCCCCACACACACATTTTTACCACATGGCTGCATGTTCATTACAAGGCTGACTTCCATGCTGGCTAAATTCAAATGACATGGCTTTTCTCAATCTTCTTCCTCTTGTCAGCTACTGAGATTTACAGCTTGCCTCCCTCCTGGCTCTGTTTTTTGGGGTTATTATTATTATTCCAATAAATTTGACTTAGAACTTCTATGTGAATTTGCTCTTAAAATCTTTTTAAACTGGCCTAAAAACTCCAAGAAGGGACTGCAATTTCCCATCA